CATAAATAATGTTGCATGCATTTCTGAATTAGCATGGATATGACAGCGTCAAACGCTGGGGTTTTCTTACAATCTTGTGATTGTCGTATAATCGGCTAGTTTTCCCCATCCATTCATTTTGGATGCTGAATATTTTCTGATAGCGGGGTCAGTGACGTTAGATAGTGTCGCCGGTACCAGGACGTTAGCAGAAGACGCATCCCCAGTCTGGGGTAAAATTCATTTGCACATCTGGTTCAAGAGGTTCCGAGCTTTCCTTCGAGTCTTTTGCATGGCGACCAAATGAAGGACGATTGTCTGGTTCTTCTGGTTATTGGTATTCGCATCACTTGCATATATCATCATAGTTTCTATCCCTCAGTCGTGAAGAATAGCAGCTCTATTCGACTGGTTTCTATTGCAACTGCTGAACAGCGAACTCTGTTATGACAGAATTTTGAGTCATTACGCATGACTCATGAGAATGGGTGAGTATATGAAGAAAAATGGATTTCAAAATAGTCAGTTTTGTCTTTGGTCCTAGCTTTGCAATAGTCATGGCAGTTCCGTATAATGCACGGAGGAATTCTTTAGCCATTCTTATCCACAGATTGATCTCTTCTTTCTATTTTCCCTTATTGTAAACAATGTCAGATGGATCTGCTAAACAGAGACTTATTTCTTATATTTCCTGCTGTTCATCATGGAACCTAAAAATGAATCTAGTTCCAATTTATAAATATTATTTCTGTACAGTTAGTACGAAAAATTCTGAACTAGTTTCATTGTTTCGTTGTTATTATGGGTTACTTTTTTTCTTTGGTGTTTAAAGGCTATTCGACAATACCGTGAAATCGAAAAACGTTTCTGGAAGGAAGAAAATCAATTAGTGATCGACCGACTCAAGGCGACTCAGTTTCCAGTCGGCGCATATCATCAGCCATTCGTGCATGTGCTGGACATTGCCAGAGATGGTGCAGTTCTTCCCCACATTGACAGCGTTAGGGTAAGTCGCCGTTACATGTTTGCTCACCTTGTGAAATTGCCAGATTCATTTTACTGAACTAATGACTATGAGTCAAGTAATCGAATATTTTTTATAAATATCGTTATCAGCCTTTTTCAGCCCATTGCTCAATGTAAGCTTTTCCAAGACTTTACCGTAAACTTCTGTTTTCTACAATTTGTATTCATCTTGATCAAACGAATTTCTTCAGCTGATCCTGCCATCAATGGAGAGGTGTTCCTACGGGGCAGTTATTTTTTCTTGGGCCAAAGTCTTACGTTTCTCTGGTCCAGCGATGGTCTGTTCTTTTTGCAGCATGTCTAGACTATAGACACTCTAATCTAACTTCGTCACTCGAGCAGTGACATCGCAGACTCTTGTTTGTGCTTCTATCCATTCATTCGCTTTCCTGTATTTTCTTGTTATTCGCAACATACACCTTTCCATGCTGCGTATAGTATTCAGGGTTATGTACTACGTTTCTTACCCATTATGCCATTATGAGCATCGTTCAAGAACAAGGACAGTTTTCCGGATAGTAACATTTTCTATCTTCCACAAGTGCATGCATGCTATTTTTATTCTTCTGTTGATTTCACATATTCTTCTTTGCTCAGATGAGCTGTTCCAGGCAGACGCAGTTTCGCACCTCTTCAAGCCTCAGTTGATTGAGTTCAATCGGTCGCGGGGTGATTGCTTGGGAAACAGAATCTGAATCTTCTTCAGGTTCGTTTTCAGTAATGTTCTGATGCTTGCATCGTTCAGCCTTTAAATTCTTCTTTAAGGTTCTTGTGATACCCTTGAACGTTTCAGAATGTCATCCGCTAACTGCAAGTAACTTATGTAATAACAGTTTATGTTCATCCCCTGATTTTCCTAATGGAGTGCATCGGCAACCTTTCCTGAATTTCGCTGATATTGCCTCATCCTCTCGAATGCCTTTTTCGATTTCGAACTTATGCTTTCCTAAACTAGAAGTTTCATTCTTGTAAATCGTGGCGATGAGTTGTCTGTTCAAATTTTCTTCGACTCGCTGGCTTCTCAAGGAATCCAGTACGGAACGGATATAGATTGAGACGAAAGCCTTTTTTCAATCGACGAACTCTGGGCAAAGAAGAAGCTGATATTCGTTGTTTGTCTGAATTGCTCATTGTGTCACATGGAGATGATCCAAGGTACTTGATCCGTTTCAGTATTCCTTTGACTGTGAGCGTTCTGTTTTGCTTGAAGTCTCTTCGTTAAGATCTTGTAGATGAATTCCATGAAAATAATCATTTCGGATTCTTCAGATCCGTCTGTTATTCTAATGACACTAGTGTGCGGCGTCGAAAGTCTTGGATAAGTAAATCAGTTTAATTGTCTTCAGCCATGGATAGTGAACTGAACCTCATAAATCCCTTAAAAAGATGATATTGCCTTAGAACTTGATTGTACACAGAAGGTGTGACGTTTTGATACTTCTGTAATACTCGATCCTTCTTCAGGGTTGAAAGTTGACGAAGTTAATTGCTGCTTTACGAACTGACTATATTCTTGAAGCATGGATAAAAAATCCTAACGTAAAGAGTGATGGAAAGGCTATATTTATGTCGACGCCTTTCGTTTTGTTATCGATATCAAAACTGAATATATGAAAAAATAAATGGAAGTATTGCCGCACACCTACGACAAATTATTAACAACATAATCTAAACTAAGTGATCGTTGTGTCTGCTACTCACGAAATATCATTTTTCTTTACTGCTCATTGGCTGCTCTATTACAGATGAAGAGTATTCATTGTATATTTTGTATTTGTGTGTCAGTAGATGGAGGAACTCTTATTAATAACTATAACTTGGTATTGTTCCGGTTAGTTACCGAAGCATCGCTTCGCAGACGCCATGACCATCACCAGTGGAAGTGCTCAAGTATTCAGCTGGAAACGAAACAGGAAACAACGTTGGTAAACGTTAAAATATCGCTCTTCCTTACACTTTCATGACGCGCCATTCATTTGGTGGATTTAGTGGCAGGACTCTGATCTCTGTTTCTTTGCCATCAACCAAGAGTACCTTGTTTCTCAAAGACCGAATCGACAGCATCTACATGGTAAGATAACACGTAGTCTCCTGTTTCATTCCTACAGAATGGTACTCATCTATGAACTTTAAAAGAAAGGCGAGTGATCTGAAAGGGGTCTGGTTCTGAGTTAGATGCTGTACCGACGGAGCAACCTCAGTTTCAGTTCAGTACATTTGCGGAATGCGTGCGCAGAAATGCTTTTTCACTTTATATTAAATCTTTTGTAGACCCTACATACATAAATTCAATTGTAGCTTATTTCATAAAGTTTACTTAGGGATCTAGGGCTTCTGCTGGATTGCTTAAAAAGAAGCGGCTTCAATGTCATTCCACTTTCTTAGTAGACCCGTAACATCATTTTCATGATGTATTCGTTTTCTCGTTCTGAAACGTCTGAAATTTTCTTTTTTCCAATTACCTTCTTTTGACATTATATTGCACAGAACCACGTTACTTTTCAAGAAGTGCTCCTGTAAAGTTAAACCTTTCCGCTCAGGTTCTGTAATATTCCTGTTTGCACAAGTGATGCGATAAGCAACCACAAAAGTTTCTTGTGGTAGAATCATTTTCTCATACGAAAATCTCATTGCATCTGTGGGGCGTGACATGCCATCCTTACGACGTGTTTGTGCATGCTTTAATCGTTTGTAAGAGTGATGAATTGAAGAAGGTAGCGGTACACAATTCCTAATGTTCCTGTAATCGATTTGTCTACAAAGGTTTCGAAGTAAGTTTTGTTTCATCTGTCTTCCTTTCGACTTCTTTAGTTATTAGCAATATATTTTATTTCCCTTTCTCATTACGGTGTATTGATAATAGCTTGATTTTTTTTCATTTTAGTACTGCGGAAGCACGATCAGCGGAATCAGTCTGTTATCAGATGCCGTCATGCGACTTGTTCACGCGAAAGACAAGCAGCTGATGATTGACTTGTACCTGAAGCGCCGCTCAGTTTACACCATAACGTAAGCAAGCAATAAAACCACTGGCTACGACTTTGTGTAAAAATTTATTTTTATACAATGATTTAGGGGTGTTGCACGATACGACTTTACGCA